TAGGTAAAAAGCTTAACGAGATTTTTATCAAAATCACCGACTGTACTCCCAGTATTTAAAATTCTAGAAATGAATATAGTGTGTATTCATTGCGAGTTATTAAAAAAACAGTGTGAGCTAAAGTATTCTATAGCTGTAAGATTTGCACTGTCAGGACTTGTATGTCTTTTGACTTGTTTAGGGAATATGATGTGTCCTGAATAGGAACAGGGAGCTTACTAAAGCTATGTTCAAGTATGTGTGGAATGGACGACACAAGCAGGAAGGGTTTACTTTACCCTTTATTCTCGATACGTTTACAGGTGTTCCCGCACTTCGGGATACAGAGACCAACCACTTGTGGTCTGAACGTTAAAATGTAAAACTACTAACTAAAATTCTAAATAAGAGCTATCTTTGAATTAGTTTACAAATGCCTAACCCTAAGACTGGCTTTTTTAAACGATTACGTATGTAGTAAGCAAACTGCCGAAACTACAATACGTTTTAAATATCAAGAGGATTAAAGCTCTGGCCTTAAAGGCAAGCAGCAACTGATTGAAAAACTCGTACAAAATGCAGTGGCAAGGCGGCTCGCTTCCTCTCTTGGGCGTTAGCAGCTAGAATTTGCATAAACAAGTTAACACATTTAATTCTGGCCGGAAGTGGAAAAATAAGAAAAGATAATACAGTTTTAAAATAAAATAAACGTTAGTAAAACTTAAGATCCTTACAGCACTACATAAGATAACATGTTATAGAGTGTCGTATAAACTCGCGAGCTCTAGAAAGACTGTAGGAAATTTTTCTCCTGCCTTTGACAAGTAGGCAGACAAAGTCAGAAGAAGGGTGTAAATATCCCTTTTATTCGATCACAATGTATTAACAGTTGACCTTACTTGAGCGTACATAAGCCAACACTCCTAGCTTAACTCAAAAAAGTAATCTGGAGCTTAAAATAAATTATAATTTAGATTAGCTTGGCAGCTCACAGGATAAACCAAATGCGCAGAATGGATCTGGCACAGAGAAACCGGCTAGACAAGTTTAATAGCTAGACACACTCAACGAAACAGAATCAAATCGCTAATAAGTCACAGTAACAACGTAGCCTGAAATAGGCAGAGCACTCTTCTAATATCAACTTGCGAAGCCTGCGTTTAGATAGCAGTATACACGTGCGTTATCTCATTTACATTCTGGCATGAAATGGAGAGCGACGGGAAAGTTTCTTTAACTCAAAATAAATAAATAAATCCTCACAATGTAACGAATGTTGCTTTCTTGAACAATTCGCTTCGAAATTAATAATGCTTGCACTAAAAACAACTTCACAGAACATGTGACGTTTTTGTTATACTTCTTGAAATTTTCAGTTAAACTAGAAATTAAAAGGTAGGTTATGTGTAATGACAGATCATTGTATTATTATCAGACTCAAGAATAATGTGAAAACGTTTATAAAGTAATATGATTCATATTTACCTTAAATATTTAGATGAACAATAAAATAAACTGTGGAATCATTCCACCTCTGGAAACCGAACATCAGAAGGAATCAGGAGAAAAAAGCTAATAACGTTTAGTAGTTCTATTCAGTCGGCCGTAACCTAAGCGGATGAGAACTCTTGCCAGTGTGGTTTAATTTACATTGGTTAAACTAAGACAGCCTTAAAATTTCGCGTTAAGGAACATGAGGCGTATGTTCGAAAAATGGAAACACAGAGGTCGTCTGTTTCCCAACATTTTTGGTCTGAAAATCACACTTTTAATTTTTCTGCAGCCGAAATTATTCAGAAAAAAAAAACTTCCATTAGTGAATTAGATTTTCTAGAGGCATTTCACATTAAAAAATATTTCTGTTCTAGTTAATGACCCTAATTCCAATCCGTATTTACCTTTAGCCTTTAAGTTGTTTTAGTTCTCGTTTCATCAATAGATGGCACGAGTAGCTTAACTCCTGTCTAGCCATTCTTATCCTATCTTATCTCGTTCATTTTCGCTTTGGCAGCTGAGAATGATGGTTCGGTAAAACCATCGAAATTAGCCCTGTGAAGATTTGAAAATATAACGCTGATTTTTTTTTTTTTTAATTTAACTTCTAAATTAATATATGCTATTATATCTTGATTCATCTAAACGATGACTTAACAATTTATTTAATGATAAAAGCTGACTCAGATAATTCACAATATTTTAATATGATTTTGAATTTTTACTGTGCAGTGAACTGTCTCATTAGCGTGGATCACGCAACAGAACAAACGAAAGCATTAAGTTAAATGCAAAGTAATTTACTTAGTATAATAATTTAACTGTTATTTTTTGAAATTTGTGCTGGAATACGGACACTAAATTAATGCAAACTAGCTAATTAACTCATTCCATTTATTTTTAATTACTTTGCTAAAGCAAAGTCTCTAAAGAGAAAGAAATTTTTCATGCGTGATTTTATGCGCGCAAAAACATTACCGTCAAATAATCAAAATGTTTCTAGTAAAATAAAAGGAAAAATACATCACTTATGAAGCATAAAGGACAGTTTTTTCTCTTTATTCATCCTTCTGGGGAAAAAAATCTGAAAAAGAAATTTTACTTTTCTCCGTCTAGGAAATGTCTTTTGAAACACACACACACAAAAAAAAAAAACAGTCCTTTGAGTGGCACAATAAAAAGCTTACTCTAATTCTTTCCCTTTAGAAAACATAACCAGGAAAAAAAAAGAACCTTTCCTATGCTCACGTTATATATAAGATAAGTAAAATCTCTTGACATTTAAGATCTTTTTTTTATTTAGTCATAATATATAATGTTGTTAAAAATAAGTTTTAAATGATTTAAGTGGTATTCAAAATTAATTTATTTATTACTTTATTTTCATTTTGTGCTTTGTTTTAGCAATAAATTTGTAAATCATTATTTGAATGATTTATATCCATACTGTGATTCTCGTTTGACAGCTTCAAAGATAAACTTGCTATTAATTAATGCCTTTTAAGGATGTTTTTACATTTTAGAAATTACGCAATTAAACACTGATGCTTGTAGAAAGTGTATGATCGATATTTTATTTTTATTTGCACAGATGTCAGACATTTCGTCAATAAGTCATTAGCCTTGATCTTGTTTCCTAAAATTTAAGAACAATAGCATTAAAAGGTTATAGTGCAGTGCATTCGTCAATATTCTCCATATCCATAGACTGACCAGTTTTACAAAGAGTACAGATAGAAGAAGCCTTATATCGAATGTTAAAAAGATAGCCATTCAGACAATCTTCCCCAGTCAAAAGATGAAACAAAGCCATGGCTACAGAACGAGGAGAATCTGGAATAACTGGGTTGACACACCTTGGCCTTTCCCTTAGCTCCATTTGATAGGCAGAAGACAAACACCTTTTTAAATTCTAATTTAATTATGAGTTTCACAGAATTAAAAGTCATATGGTTATTAGTGGTCTGTAGAATAATCGTTCCTTTCTTCGCCAGGAAACCGGCCCCTTCATTTCTCTGGATGCCACAATAAACAGGAGTTCACTGCAAGACAATTGAGTCATCCAGAGTGTTTAGAATCTTCCTACATTCTTAAATACAAAATTTATTGTTGGAGATAGCCTGCAAAGGGGCTTTGCTTTCGGGCAAAATAACAGCCCGAGGAAAATAACTTCTCCGAGCACTTAATTGATTCATAGCAATAAATATAGCCGCAACTTCACCATCAAAACTAGTAATACAGAATACAAAATGATTACAATACATTCCTGCACCAGCTCCAGTACCTCGCTTAACCATGGATCCATCGGTGAAAACATGGGTCCAGAGATTTCTGGGATAGCTTCTCTCAATAGTTTCATAAGGCTCCAATCTGGGCAGTGGGCATTTACCTCTTAAAAATTTTTTCGTCAAGTTCAAGATATGCACACAAGTCACCGTAGTCAAGAGGACACAGAGATACAGTCTACACTCATTTTTCGAACAAGGTCTAGGTCTTCTTCGAATTGATAACTGATTTAATCGAAACCCACATTTGTCTTTAAATTTCTGCCATTGTAAAAATTGTAGTCAGTGTAATAGAAACCAAATATATGATTGAAATAAATGAAAAAAAAATGACCTCTAAGTATATAATAATTTTTAATTTCCAAGAACTTTCCTTCTCAGTAACATCCAAATAATTTCCCCACTGATTCATTCATAAGACCTTATAATTCACATTCTCATATTTGTTTCTTTTTCTAGAAAATCCGACACAGAGCGGATTTATGCTATGAACTGTAAGCTTTTCATGTAATGGCTACCAAAATAGGTTCAGACTTAGTGCGTGAAGGTGCAGTTGCCCCTCGCTCCCTATTTTTTGGCTTCGCTGATTTTTTTGCGTTTTAGTCTATGTGTTATATGTTTGATCAGATAGACTGGCCCAGTAAAAGTAGGCGGCCAGTGTAACTCTGATTCAAAATCCTGTTACGACCACGTGCTTTGCTGATAACTACCACGTGTTTCTGAGACTCCTTTGTCAATGCTTTATTTCTTCTTTTTTCCCCTTTCTAGTAATTTCGTTCTCCTGATGAGGAGGGACCTTTAGCTAGCCTCGAAATCGATTGTTGTAGCATATGTACGCTAAATACAAGGTTGTTATTGCGATTTTGATAGCTACCAAATAATTTTTAATTAATAATTCATAAAAAAGATTTAACATTAGGTCCATCCACAGGAAAGAAAATTAAGTACTTAAATGTGGTAAAAGAACAGAACAAACTTTTGGTATTTATCAATGGATATTCCATCGTGTCGCAATTATTCCAACTTTTGTCTTGAATTACGTGGTAAATAATGTTATAGAAATTCCGAATAAATATTATTTTTATTATTCTCATTGTTAATTTTATTTTTTTTCAATGGAATTATAGTACATCAAGAAATTCTGATGCTATATGAACAATGAATGTAATATATACTGCATAAATATGTTAGATAACTTGATTTACGAAATATGCTATGCCCAATGTAACCAATTTAGAATACCTGTCATGATGATCCTTGCCCACTGTTCACTTTCTTTAGTTTCTCGTCTCAGTTTATTATGCACCTGGCACTTATATTTTCGACTGGTATCACTTTCGTCCACATTACGAATGTGAAATTCGCCAGTTGGGAAGACAGCATATTTGCCTGTAAAAAATATTATTTTTAGAACATAAGTGAATCTGAAATAATTAACAAACGTATGTCATACTTTATACACTCTTGAACATTCTACTCCAATAGTTAAAAATATTACCTTATTGACATGAACTCATCTTTACATATAACTTCTTCTACAATAATTAGCAACCTCCATGAATTACTTTTTATTTACCTAGATTTCTAAAGCCACTTTCTAAGAGCTTGTAACCTCACCCTGCATGTCTATATGAACATTAACTACACTTTTGCAAGATTTTGCTTAGTCTTCAAATCCTACAGTAAGGTACATTTTCAAAGAAGTTGTTGGTATATTTACAAAATTAAGCTTGACGGAAATTTTGGAAAGATTGTTAGTAATATTATTATACTCCATAAAACTTTTGGGAAAATTTTTTGCAAAGTTTTCTTTTCGTAAGTTACAATGTTATACTACTAAACGAATACCGGACTTAATACCGCTTTAAATTTTATACAAATATTTAAATACTAGGACACTATTATTTCTATAACATGAGTACGTGATGCGCCTTCTGTGTCCATTGATTTTCGTTCTTAATGAAAATAGGGAGTGAAAATTCAAGACAAATTAAGATAAACCAAGATAAGAATTTCGAGTCCTTTTCTCATGTTGACTTAAAAAGCTTGACTAAGCACTAAATTACGCCTGAAACGGCAAAAATTCCTGAATCATCTTGACTTTTTACTTAAATGTAAATGTAAAAAATTGATCCCCAATTTTATTCAAATCAAATCTAATCAAAAACCTTCGAGTCGCGTTTCAAGAATTCTGTTAAATTGCAAACTTGCCTTACTTCGGTCCGTGATAAGGGATACACGTCAACAATTGTCCAAAATTGAACATGAACTCTATAAGCTTCATCTGGAACTCGCTAAAACATATCCAAAATTCACTGCCCTTGAACAAAAGGTCTTGGTCTAGAACGGAGAATGCAGTTTAACCGTCATAAAAACACCCTTGCAGTTAAATTCGAAAAACTTCTTTTACAGTCTTCCAGTTCAAGTAGTTCAAAAAATCTTCCCATTGTAAACATCAAGCCAATAGTTAATATTTCTAATGTTAGTCTTTCAGAAGAACAAGAGAGAATTCTAAAATATAATTTTAACTTCTCACAAACCTGTAAGCCCCTCGATTCCAAAGATTTTGGCTCCTATCGAAAAAGCTTTCAAGTTCAGTAAAGTTTCAGATTCACAGAAAGAAATGATTAGGCATCTTATCGCTCATAATGTGAAATTCAATAATAAACCTTTGAAACCAAATCTAACTGCGAGAGAAAGAGCTACAATGCGCGAGATTCATTCTAACCCGGATATTGTCATTTCAAAGGCCGACAAAGGTGGCCAGATAGTCGTCATGGATAAGAACACTTACATCGATGGTGTCATTAAACTCTTAAAACGAAGGACCATATAATCCGATCCCTAAAGATCCTTCACCTTCGGACTTATCCAAAATAAAAACTGCGATCAAATCTTCGCAAATCATTTCAAGCAACTTAAAACATTCGCTTATCCCATCTGTTGCGAATTGTGCCAGATTATATGCTCTTCCCAAAATTCATAAAAGTGGTATTCCTTTCCGCCCTATTGTATCAAATTTAGGTACTGCCGTCGTATCCATTAGCTAAATATTTAGTTTCTAGATTTTCCACTCTATTAGACAATAACATTTACACCATAAAAAATTCAATAGAGTTTGTAAAAAAGGTTAAAAACATTCTCCTCGTAATTTACTCATGGTTTTCTTTGATGTAAAATCATTATTCACCAATGTCCCAGTGGAGGGTGCATTAAGATGTCTAGAAACCAGACTTCGCGAATTTCATTTCTCTTGCATCGAAATCGATGAGCTAATTTCTCTCACTCAACTCTGTTTGAAACAAACACATTTTGTTTTCCAAAATAAATATTACAAGCAAACTGAGGGATTAGCCATGGGAAGCCCCCTCAGTCCCATCCTGGCTGATATCTACATGCATTATTATGAATCAAAATTGTTTGAAACTTTAAACTTCCCGGCATGGTTCCGCTACGTAGACGATACTTTTACCCTGTTTGAAGGTAATAAAGATGATTTAAATAGAGTTCTTTCAACAATGAATTCTATTGATCCTGCTATTCAGTTCACTTTTGAACTTGAGACTTGCAATTCTCTTCCGTTTCTCGACATTCTGGTCACACGTAACACATCCAACTTCAGTACTACAGTTTACCGTAAACCTTCATCGGTTTGCCTTCCACCACACTTTAAATCATGTCATCCGACTAAACAAAAGTTAGCTTCATTTTATTCCTATGTTTTCCGTGCTCTTCAAGTTTGCTCCTCAAAACTAGCCCTTGATGAAGAACTAAATTATTTAAAAGCAATAGCTATTGACAGGGGCTTTTCACCCAACATTATTAATCAAGCAGTTAAAAAATTCTCATCTCAACACACTAAAAGCCACACTCTTATTTTAGGAGATTATAAAAATTCTGTTGTCATTCCCTTCTTTCCATCAATTAGCTATAAAGTTGCACATATTTTTGCAGAAATTTAACTTTCGGGTTGTTTACTCTCCCATCAATAAAATTCCAACTTCTATACTCAAGGACCCCATTCCGGATATGAATTCCTGGGGTATTTATAGGATTCCTTGCCAGTGCGGTTTAATTTACATTGGCCAAACTAAGAGAGCCTTAAAATTTCGCGTCAAAGAACATGAGGCATATGTTAGAAAAAAGGAAACACAGAAGTCTTCTGTTGCTCAACATTGTTGGTCCGAAAATCACACTTTCAATTTTTTCTGCTGCCAAAATTATTCAAAAAACATCTTCCATTGGAGAACTGGATTTTCTAGAGGCATTTCACATTCATAAAAATCTTTCTGTTCTAGTTAACGATCCTAATTCCAATCCAAATTTGCCTTCGGCTTTTAGAGAAATTATGTTTTAGTTCTGGTTTCGCCAACAGATGGCGCCACTTGCTTATTCTTGTCCAGGCTTTCTTATCTTATCTAAACATTATTTCCTATCTTGTTCATTTGCGGTTTTGCAGCTGAAGATGATGGTTCGGTAAAACCATCGAAACTAGTCCTGTGAAAATTTTGTAAATTAACGCTGATTTTTGTTGTTTGACTTCTGAATTATTAAAAAGCTTGACTTAAATTTCTTTTTCTAGTTTTGTATGTCTGTTCATTAGAACTTAATGCAATCAGTTTCAACATTATGCGGAATTTGAGACTTCCCCACTCAGTGCCTTCATTGTGTAAGTTCGGCTACCTTATATCTGGAGTCTCGGCGAGGGAACAGCAATTGATTCAGAGTAATAAATATAGCGAATAATTATTGCATTTCATGCAAGTAGTATTACAGTATATATCCCTACAAATATAATAGCCCTACAGTGACACCCAATCAAAACATGGTAAACGATAATTCGTATCCATTTGGATATGGCGACTAAGTTTCTTTTCTCTCATCTATCCCTTTCAGTAGGGAAGGCATTCTCCGCTCCTTGTTTTTATGTTGTAATTCGTAGCCCATCCTGACAGCACTCAGAAGATATCGAGTTTAAATCCTGCCGAAGACGTAGCTTATTTTTTATGTTCCTTTTTCCAAATAAATGCCTAATAGCTCTAGAAAACCATTTCAGAACAGCTACAGTATATTATGCATTATAATTCCATTGCATTGAAAACAAAGATATCCACTTTATATAGTGATTCGAAATTGCAAAATTATCTATTATATGTATTTGTTTTGAATATTCACAGAGGCTTGTAAAATATGTAATGGCGAAAATTCGTTCCCATTTATGACATTTTCATAATTTAAAAAAAAATATTTGTCTGATAGTTGATTAAAAAAATTAGGTGCCTGAAAAAATTAGTTGTTTGCATAGTGGAAACTTAATTTAGAAGATCATCTGCTGAAACCTTTACATTTCAATAAGACGAACCTAACATAAGCATAGAAAAGCAAAGTACAGATCACCTTCGAGTGCTTTATCATAATTAAGTAAACAAAACTATAATTTTGGGTCGTTTTTATATGCTGATTTAATAAAATGTAGCTTACAAGTAATGGTAATTTATAAGTTTTATTTTAAAAATAAAATTACCTTTTGAATTAAATTGTGAATAAATGTAAATACAATAATTAAAAACCACAGATAGCTGAATAACTTTGAATCACCGTACATGATAAATAACATAGAAAGTAAGTACTATTGGGATTTCAGACTTAAAGGTACTGTATGTGGTACTTACAGTCATAAAAAAAATATTGCATGTGTGCAAATCGTGAGAACGTTAGGAACACTGGATGGGAGAGAGAGAGAAAGAAAGAGAAAATGCAGAGGATAAATAGCGTATGCTGCCACAGAACTGAGATAGGTTGTGTCATCGTTATAGTATGTTTTGGTAAGTTTCACATAGTAGCAAAAAAAAAAAAAAAAAAAAAAAAAAAAAAAAAGCTACTATGTGGATCTTAATGTATGATTATTAACATTGAATAAATATAGAAGTGCTGAAAAACAGCAATAAATAACTTATGAAATGGAATATCCGTATGACGTATAATGCAGCGTAAAAGGAAACAAAGGAATATAGTTGGTGTACTGCGATTTTCAGACTATGGAAATGACTTTTAAAGATATTACTGTAAGTATAAAATATTATTGATGAAGATACAGAACTCTAACTTTTCCTACTTCAAACTAATGGATAACCTTTCATCTATTCACGAATTTGTGAGGCTGTTGAATACTGCATAACAAACGAATTAAAACCTATCTAAAAATGTCCAAAAGCAGAATAGATTCTCTTATACAAGTAATTGGGAACAAGTAATTGGGAATCACTGTGCCAAAAAAAGTAAGTTATCATTTCCAAAAATTAGTTAACTCTTTCAAAGATTGCGAAAAATATATTTTGTCGCAATTTTTATGTTGTAAGTTATTATCCTAATCTTTAGCATAACTCTCT